TTGCACACGCTAGGGCCTTGTTTTTGCTATTTTGCACAAGCTAGGCCTTTGTTCTTGCAATTTTGCACACGCTAGGCCCTTGTTCTTGAAACTTTGCACACGCTAGGCCCTTGTTCTTGCAATTTTGCACATACTAGGCCCTTGTTCTTGCAATTTTGCACACGCTAGGCCCTTGGACTTGCAATTTCGCACTCGCTAGGCCCTTGTTCTTGCAATTTTGCACACGCTAGGCCCTTGTTCTTCCAATTTGGCACACGGTAGGCCCTTGTCCTTTAAAGTTTGCACACGCTAGGCCCTTGTTCTTGTTTTTTTGCACTCGCTAGGCCCTTGTTCGTGCAATTTTGCACTCGCTATGCCCTAGTTCTTGCAATTTTGCACACGCTCAATCCTTGTTTTTGCTATTTTGCACAAGTTAGGCCCTTGTTCTTGAAATTTTGCACACGCTAGGCCCTTGTTCTTGAAAGTTTGCACACGCTAGGCCCTTGTTCTTGCTATTTTGCACTCGCTAGGCCCTTGTTCTTGCAATTTTGCACTCGCTAGGCCCTTGTTCTTGCTATTTTGCACACTCTAGGCCCTTGCTCTTGCAATTTTGCACACGCTAGGCCCTTGGTCTTGCAATTTCGCACTCACTAGGCCCTTGTTCTTGCAATTTTGCACACGCTAGGCCCTTGTTCTTGCAATTCGGCACACGGTAGGCCCTTGTTCTTTACATTTTGCACACGCTAGGCCCTTGTTCTTGTTTTTTTTGCACTCGCTAGGCCCTTGTTCGTGCAATTTTGCACTCGCTATGCCCTAGTTCTTGCAATTTTGCATACGCTGGGCCCTTTTTTTGCTATTTTGCACAAGTTAGGCCCTTGTTCTTGAAATTTTGCACACGCTAGGCCCTTGTTCTTGAAAGTTTGCACACGCTAGGCCCTTGTTCTTGCTATTTTGCACTCGCTAGGCCCTTGTTCTTGAAATTTTGCACACGCTAGGCCCTTGTTTTTGAATTTTTTCACACGCTAGGCCCTTGTTCTTGCTATTTTGCACTCGCTAGGCCCTTGTTCTTGCAATTTTGCACTCACTATGCCCTTGTTCTTGCAATTTTGCATACGTTAGGGCCTTGTTTTTTTTATTTTGCACAAACTAGGCCCTTGTTCTTGAAATCTTACACACCCTAGGCCCTTGTTCTTGCATATTTTGCACATACTAGGCCCTTGTTCTTGCAATTTTGCACACACTAGGCCCTTGTTCTTGCAATTTTGCACTCTCTAGGCCCTTGTTCTTGCAATTTTGCACACAGTAGGCCCTTGTTCTTGCAATTTTGCACACGCTAGGCCCTTGTTCTTGCAATTTTGCACACGCTAGGCCCTTGTTCTTGCAATTTTGCACTCGCTAGGCCCTTGAAGCGCATGAGTCCCTGTAGGCGTAGGGAAAAGCATTCAACAACCTGTATTGTTTAGCATATTCGACTAGCCCAGATTCAAATAAACCTACTAGAGCCTTCTCGGCTTGGTTCTTGCGCGAAGAAAAGTTCGGCGCCTACGATTTCGGCCGTTTTTGCCGACAAGTGCCTAGAAAGCGCGTGAATCCCTATAGGCGTAGGGAAAAGCATTCAACAACCTTGTTTGTATTGCATATTCAAGTGGCCCATATTCAAATACACCTACTAGAGCTTTTTTGGCTTGGTTCTTGCGCGAAGAAAAGTTCGGCGCCTACGATTTCGGGCCGTTTTTGCCGACAAGTGCATAGAAAGCGCGTGAATCCCTATAGGTGTAGGGAAAAGCACTCAACAACCTGATTTTTATTGCATATTCCACTGGCCCATGTCCAAATACATATACTAGAGCCTTGTGGCTTGGTTCTTGCGCAAAGAAAAGTTCGGCGCCTACGATTCCGACCGTTTTTGCCAACAAGTGCCTAGAAAGCGCGTAAATCTCTTTAGGCGTAGGGAAAATTATTCAACAACCTGATTTTTATAGCATACCGTATCACCCCGGATATAAGCGCATATGCGCTTATAATAAATTCAGTTTTTTGAGGGGGGGCGCTTGTAATTGAGTAACGGCCATAAGTCCCGGCACTTTTATATGTGAAGTATGAGGAATGAAGAAGAGAGGGGTTGCACTAGCAGCAGCTGGCATACATATAGGAAACCCTAATTGGGTTGTACTCGCTATAGAGTACCCCACTGCAGGCTAGACAATTATAACATTCTGACACACCCCCATAGCCAAAGTGGGGTGTAATCAGCACAATGAGCAAGCAGGCATAGAGCAGGAGTTCACAATAGCGAGCAAAGCTAGAGTTGATCACAGCGGGCAAGTGAGGAGGAGGAGGAACTGTGGAGGGAGAGAAGATGGGAGGCAACGACTGAAGCTGCAGAGGCACGGGCACAGGAGCGGCTGACTTAGTGGCTACCGAAGCAAGGGCGACAGACTACAGGAGTAACTGGCTCTGCGGCTATAGACGAGCGGCAGGAGCAACGGACCCACTGGCGACTGGTGCAACAGGCTCACTGGCTACCGAAGCAAGGGCGACAGACTACAGGCGCTGCAGGCGACACGACAGCTACCTCCACACAACCTCCTCCAGCTGCCCCACACCCCTCGACACACAACCCTTGCTCAAACCCTAGTTCCACTCCCACAGCACCCCCCTTTCACACACCCCCTGCTGCACCCTAGGTTCACTCACACCCCACCCCCTAGCACCACTCCGTCGACTCCCACACACCCACCCCCCTCAGCGGTAGCTGCAGCAGTGGGAGACAGAGGAGGAGGAGGAGCAGGGGAGACCACACACCCGCCACCCTCTACTCGCCACCCCCAAACCCTAACACAGGGCAGGGCCGGGCGACGGGTAGGGAGGTTACGGCGGGGGGGGGGGGGGGAGGGGCTGACGCGCGGCCTCCCAAGGCGCCAAAACAGGCGGCAGAAGGGGCGACGGAGCATGGCCGGGGCAGGGCCGGGGCAGGGTCGAGGCAGGGCCGAAATGGGTGGCGACGGGGCCGCGAAGGGGCCGCGAGGGGCCTGAAAGGTTGGCGACGGGGCCGTTAAGGGCGGCGAGGAGGCCGCGAAGGGGCCGCGAGGGGCCTGGAAGGGCGACGACGGGCCGCTAGGGGCGGCAACGGGGCCGCGAGGGGCCTGAAAGGTCGGCGACGGGACCGTTAGGGGCGGCGACGGGGCCGCGAGGGGCCTGGAAGGGCGGCAACGGGGCCGCGAAGGGGCTGCGAGGGGCCGAGAAGGGCGGCGACGGGGCCGCGAGGGGTGACGACGGGGCCGCTAAGGGTCGCGCGAGGGGCCGTGAGAGGGGCCTCTAGGAGTGCTCGAAAAGAGGGCGGCCGACGGGAAGAAAAATTCCGTCGCACGCCACGGGGCAGCGGAAGCAGTTTTGTGGGCCCACAGGCCAGGAGCGTAGATGCTCTGATACCATGTGAAGAATGAGGAATGAAGAAGAGAGGGGTTGCACTAGCAGCAGTTGGCATACATATAGGAAACCCTAACTGGGTTGTACTCGCTATAGAGTACCCCACTGTAGGCTAGACAATTGTAACATTCTGACAATATAATGACAAATACAATTTTAGGGTACCAAAAATGTACCTTTCATTGTTGCAATTCAACTGAGTCGAAACAATAGAGCGCCTCAAAGCAGAATCGCGCGGAAGCGATTCTGCTTCCTGCACACGGGCAAATTCACGTCATTCTGCAAGCATGCCAGCACATCCTGACTGGATGCGCAACCAGTCAGGTCTTCGCGATTCAAACGAAGCGAAAATGATTCTGGACTCGCTGCAAAAATGAAATTCGCTACTGCTATATGCCAGAACATTATAGCTTATGCGTTTGTGTAGGCTGTAGTGGGGTAGCCCATATGGGGTACAACCCAATTAGGGTTAGTACTTGTACCCAACTCTTTCATAGTGCATTCATTCTCGTTTCAGTTTTCTCATGGTATCGAGCAGGTTCCCTCGTGGGAACTGTTCCTAGGGCCCACCGATTCGATTTTTTTTTCCTGCCCGGAGCGCGCTCAGCCCTTGCCCGAGTCGCGCTCCCCCTTTCTCACTGTGTCGCGCCGCCCTTGACGGCCCCGATCCGCCGCCCTAGCGGCCCCGTCGCCTACCCCGCGGCCCTCGAGCCGCCCTTCCCGGCCCCGATTCGCCGCCCTTTCGGCCCCGTCGCCTACCCAGCGGCCCTCGCGCCGCCCTTCCCGACCCGGCCCCGCCCTTGCTGGCCCCGTCGCCTACCTGCGGCCCCGACGCCTACCTGCGGCCCCGTCGCCTACCTGCGGCCCCGTCGCCTACCTGCGGCCCCGACACCTACCTGCGGCCCCGTCGCCTCCTTGCGGCCCCGGTGCTGCCCTTCCCGGCCCCGACCCCGCCCTTCGCGACCCGGCCCCGCCCCTGCTGGCCCCGTCGCCTAGCCCTGCGGCCCCGTCGCTGCCCTTCGCGGCTCAGGCGCCGCCCTTTCTCGGCCCCGACGCCGCCCTTCCCGATCCGGCCCAGTCTCTGCTGGCCCCGTCGCCTACCTTACGGCCCCGGCGCCGCCCCTTCCCGGCCCCGGCCCAGCCCCTGCTGGCCCCGTCGCACGCCCTTCCCGGCCCCGACTCCGCCTTCACGCGGCCCCGCCGAGCTACTGCCGAGCCGCCAGCGCCACCCGAGCCGCCCGAGCCGCCGCGCCACTTGAGACGCCTGAGCCGCTCGAGCCGCCCGAGCCGCCGTCCCGCCGAGCCGCCCGAGCCGCCCGAGTCGCCTGAGCCGCCCGAGCCGCCCGAGCCGCCCAAGCCGCCTGAGCCGCAGAGTGGCCGAGCCGCCGAGCTGCAGTTCTTGCCGAGCCGCCGAGCTGCAGTTCCTGCCAAGCTCCCGAGCCGCCAAGCCGCCCGAGCCGCCCTGTCCGGTAAGAGCAGCGCCTCCATCACTACACTGCCCTTACCCCACTGTTCACGCTACTAGTCTATTGCTGTCATGGCTATCCCTAGTGTCCTCGCTTTTGACGCTGAGGGTCGGGCCATTGACTTTGATGTCTGGGTAGATGACCTGCAGCTTTTCCTACAGTGCGATAGGGCAGACGGTCTCTCCTTCTTTGACCTCACCTCTGGTGCCTCTCCTGCCTCTGCTGCTGATGCTGACGACACTATTCGCTCACAGTGGGCCACACGCGATGCTGCTGCACGTCTTGCTGTGCGGCGCCACCTGCCTACCTCTGAGCGTGCGCACATTAGCCTGTACAAGAGTGCTCAGACCTTGTACGACGCTGTAGTTGCACGCTACTCCTCCCCTGCCACTGCTGCACTGAGTCGCCTTCTGCTACCGTACCTCTTCCCTGACCTTGCTGCCTTTCCCACAGTCGCTGACCTCATTACGCACCTCCGCACTAGTGACACTTGCTACCGCGTTGCGCTTCCTGCAGAGTTCTGCGCCAAGAACCCCCCCCCCATGTACATCACTCTCTACTACATAGTCACCCGCCTCCCTGACTCCCTTCGCGTAGTCAGGGACCACTTCCTCTCAGTTTGCCCCACCACCCTCACCGTTGACCTCCTCGAGAAGGCCCTCCTAGCAGCGGAGAAGAGAATAGTCACTGTAGGAGCCTCTCGTGGTGACCTTCGCACCCCCATCTTTGAGGGGTGTTCCCCCTCCCCCCTTTTGCCCTCTGTTGCCTCTGCTGCTGCGGCCGACCTCGTTGGGCTTGAGTCGGTCGGTGCGGCGTCTACCCCTAGCGGGAGACGCCGCCCTGGCAAGGGCAAGGGGGGCAGGGGCACTGGAGGAGCTAGCGGGGGCGGTGGAAGCGGCGGTGGAGGCGGCGGAGGGAGTGGGGGTGGCGGTGGGGGTGGTGGCGGGGGTGGAGGTGTCGGTGGCAGCAGTGGAGGCGGAGGCGGCGGCGGTGGCGGTGGGAGCGGAGATGGTGGCGGAGGTGGCGGCGGTGGAGGAGGCGGTGGCGGAGGAGGTGGAGCTGGTCGGGGTGGCACTGCGCAGAGGGTCGGCTCCGGTGGTGGTCAGGGCCAGCAGCACTAGCAGCGCACTCGTGACATCCCCTCCCCTCAGCAGCTCCGTGAGTGGTACGCTGCACGCCAGCGGGGTGGAGGTACTGGTCCGTGCACCTACGTCCTACGCACCGGCGACCGCGCGGGTGAGCAGTGCGGGGGTGCGCACTCCACCCAGCGCTGCTTTGGCCGCCTGACGGACGCTTGGCGTCACCAGTTCCCGGAGGCCACGGAGATCCCCCGCTGGGGTGAGCTGTCTAGGGCGGGAGTAGCTGTCTTTGAAATTGACTTTGATGCTATTCTTGCTGCCATGTATGCTGTGACTATTAGTGATGAGGGTGAATGTTACCGGTGTTTTCCGCCCGACCCGGGCATTGAGACTGCCGCTCTAGGTACTAGTGAGGCTGCTGCTCTAGGTGCTAGCGATGCTACTGCTCTAGGTGCTCGTGCGTCTGCTCCCTCAGGTGCTGGTGAGTCTGCTCTCTCAGGTACTGCGTCGGCTTCGGCCTCCCACACCTTCACCCTTGACTCGGGGGCTTCTCGCTCCTTCTTCCGAGACCGCACCACACTCACGCCGCTTGGCCGGCCAGTTGCAGTCTCTCTGGCAGACCCCTCTGGGGGTCCTGTCCTTTCTCACTACTCCACTGTCCTCCCGTGTCTGGCGGCCCCCTCTGGCACCCTGTCTGGTCTTTACCTCCCCTCATTCTCTACAAACTTGGTGAGTGGTGCTGACCTACAGGATGCGGGGGTTCACCAGTTCACTCCTGCGCGTCAGCGGGTGACCCACTGCACGGACGCTCGGACAGGTCGACACCTAGCCACGTTTACACGTCGGCCGGGGTCGAGCCTGTACACACTGACCACTGCGTCTCCTCCAGTCACTGCGTCTGGTCAGGTAGCTGCGTCGGGTCAGGTGTTTGCTGTAGTGTCCAGGTCTGGTCCTGAGTCTGCCCCCTGCTCGTGTCGCCTCCTGTCTCACGAGACTCTCCTCTGGCACCACCGCCTTGGTCACCCCTCCCTGCTTCGTCTCCGAAGCATGGCCTCCCGTGTCCTTATCTCTGGTCTCCCCCGGTCACTCCCTCCCCTTCCTCCTGGGCCTGGCCCTACCTGCGTCCCCTGTGTCGAGGGGCGGCAGCGGGCTGCCCCTCACTCCTCCCAGTTTCCTCCAACAGAGGCCCCGCTGCAGACGCTTCACATGGACGTGTGGGGCCCGGCCCGCGTCCGTGGACAGGGTCACAAACGCTACTACCCGCGTTACACCACAGTCTTCCCCTTGCGCAGCAAGGGTGATGTCACTGCGGTGTTGATCGACTGGATCCGCGCAGCTCGTCTCCAGCTCAGGCAGAGCTTCGGCTCGGACTTTCCTGTTCTGCGTCTGCACTCTGACAGAGGCGGAGAGTTCTCCTCTGGCCTTCTGCGAGCCTACTGTCATGCACGAGGCATCCGCCAGACCTTCACGCTTCCGGACTCTCCACAGCAAAATGGGATTGCTGAGTGCCGCATTGGCATGGTCATGGATGTCGCTCGTACGTCCATGATGCATGCGGCTGCCCCCCATTTTCTGTGGCCATTTGCGGTTCGGTACGCAGAGCATCAGATCAACCTTCACCCCAGGGTCTCCATGCCGGAGACCTCCCCAGCTTTGCTGTGGACGGGGAAGGTTGGCCATGCGTCTGCGTTCCATGTCTGGGGATCTCGGGCGTTTGTTCGCGACTTGTCTGCGGACAAGTTGTCCCCTCGTGCTGCTCCTTGCGTCTTCCTTGGCTTCCCCCCTGACGCGCCAGGGTGGCAGTTCTACCACCCCACCTCGCGCCGTGTTCTGTCCTCCCAGGACGTCACGTTTGACGAGTCGGTCCCCTACTACCGCCTCTTCCCCTACCGCACTCCATCCCTCCCCCCGCCACCGCTCTTCCTTGTACCAGGTCCCCCCCCCCGGTAGACCCCCTCCCCCCTCAGGGTCCTGCCCCTTCAGGTGTGTCCCACGTAGACGCAGTCGAGCCCGTCGAGGTTACTGGTGACTCTGGTGCTGCTGAGGGTGCTGAGCCTGGGGGTGCTGACTCTGGGGGTGCTGAGCGTGTGGGTGCTGTGCCTGGGGGTGCTGAGCCTGCGGGTGCTACTACTGGGGGTGTTGAGCCTGGGGGTGCTGCGACTTGGGGTGCTGAGCTTGGGGGTGCTGAGTCTGGGGGTCCTGAGCTTGGGGCTGCTACGCCTGGAGGTGCTGAGCCTGGAGGTGCAAAGCCTGAGGGAGTTGGGCCTACTCGTGTGGCGTCTGGCGGTGCTGGGCCTGGAGGTTCTCCGGGTGCTTCGTCTCGACGGGAGCCCCTCTCTCCACAGGAGCTGTGTGAGTGGTTTGCTCGGCGCTGGAGGCGTGCTGCTGGAGCTGGAGGTTCTCCGACTGCTGAGGGTGCTGGTGCCGCGGGTCCCGGAGGTGCTCGTGCTGGGTGTACTGGAGCTGCTGGGCCTGCGGGTGCAACTGGAGCTGCAGCTGCAGAGGGTGTTGGCACTCAGGCTACTGCTGTCGGTCCTGGAGGCGGTCCTGCTGGGGGTACTACTGGTGCTGCTGGAGGTACTGGAGCTGGAGGTGCTCTTGGTGCTGGTGCTGCCGCTAGGGGTGCTGGTGCTATCTCTGCTGTGTCTGGAGTCGCTGCGTGGCCTCAGCCGTACTTCGTTCCGCTCCTTCAGCAGGTTCTTGGTCTCCCGCCTTCTACTGGTCCTCCTCCTCCCTTAGCGTGTCCACAGCCTGTCCCGTCACAGTTACAGTTACAGCCGTCCTCCCCACTGCCTGCTCCTTCTCCCTACACTGGTCCTACTGGAGGTCTTGCTGAGCGTCGTGAGCCTGCGTCTCGCCCTGCGTCGCCTGTCCGTGCTACTCGCACTAGTGGTCGTGGTTCGCGTCAGCGTCCTCCTCCTGTCCCTGGCACGCACCGTATGTCTCTACATTTGTTCACTGCTCCTCTGCGTGCCCCTTTCCCTTCTCCTCCTGAGTCCTCTCTTCCTGCTCTTGTCAACCCGGAGTCGGACTCCCTTTGTGCTGCCAGTCCTACTGTCACGCGTCTCCTTGCTACTGTCGTCACTGATCCTTCCTTTGAGTCCACTGCTGCGTCTGCCCTAGTTGCTGAGCTCGTCGACTTTGCTGCTCGCTGTCGTCTAGACTACGCTGCTAGTCTTGTCGCTGAGTCTGAGTCTGTCTGTCCTCCGTCCGTCGGGGGTTAGTGTGCCCTTGGCACGGACGTCCTTGAGGACAGGCAGGAGGAGTTCTAGTGTTTGGCTGCTGCTTCACCTCATCTCGTGTCCGTACTTCTTACCCCTGAGGGAGACCCGGATGCACTTGACATCCCGACTCCGCACTCTTACGCGGAGGCGATAGAGGGTCCCTACTCCTCTCAGGGGCAGGCGGCTATGGACACAGAGATGGCTTCCTGGAAGTCCACAGGCACCTACGTTGACAAGGTTCCCCCGCCTGGGGCGAACATCTTGTTTTTTTGCACTCGCTAGGCCCTTGTTCGTGCAATTTTGCACTCGCTATGCCCTAGTTCTTGCAATTTTGCATACGCTAGGCCCTTTTTTTTGCTATTTTGCACAAGTTAGGCCCTTGTTCTTGAAATGTTGCACACGCTAGGCCCTTGTTCTTGAAAGTTTGCACACGCCAGGCCCTTGTTCTTGCTATTTTGCACTCGCTAGGCCCTTGTTCTTGAAATCTTGCACATACTAGACCCTTGTTCTTGCAATTTTGCACACACTAGGCCCTTGTTCTTGCAATTTTGCACTCGCTAGGCCCTTGTTCTTGCAATTTTGCACACACTAGGCCCTTGTTCTTGCAATTTTGCACACGCTGGGCCCTTGTTCTTGCAATTTTGCACACGCTAGGCCCTTGTTCTTGCAATTTTGCACTCGCTAGGCCCTTGTTCTTGCAATTTTGCACACGTTAGGCCCTTGTTCTTGAAATTTTGCACACGCTAGGCCCTTCATCTTTCTATTTTGCACTCGCTAGGCCCTTGTTCTGGCAATTTTGCACACGCTAGGCCCTTGTTCTTGCAATTTTGCACATACTAGGCCCTTGTTCTTGCAGTTTTGCAGACGCTAGGCCTTTGTTCTCATAATTTTGCACACACTAGGCCCTTGTTCTTGCAATTTTGCACACGCTAGGCCCTTGTTCTTGCTATTTTGCACACGCTAGGCCCTTGTTCTTGCTATTTTGCACACGCTTGGCCCTTGTTCTTGCAATTTTGCACACGCTAGGCCCTTGTTCTTGTTTTTTTGCACTCGCTAGGCCCTTGTTCGTGCAATTTTGCACTCGCTATGCCCTAGTTCTTGCAATTTTGCATACGCTAGGCCCTTGTTTTTGCTACTTTGCACAAGTTAGGCCCTTGTTCTTGAAATTTTGCACACGCTAGGCCCTTGTTCTTGAAAGTTTGCACACGCTAGGCCCTTGTTCTTGCTATTTTGCACTCGCTAGGCCCTTGTTCTTGCAATTTTGCACATACTAGGCCCTTGCTCTTGCAATTTTGCACATACTAGGCCCTTGCTCTTGCAATTTTGCACACACTAGGCCCTTTTTCTTGCAATTTTGCACTTGCTAGGCCCTTGTTCTTGCAATTTTGCACACGCTAGGCCCTTGTTCTTGCAATTTTGCACACGCTAGGCCTTGTTCTCGTAATTTTGCACACGCTAGGCCCTTATTCTTGCAATTTTGCACACGCTAGGCCCTTGTTCTTGGTATTTTGCACACGCTAGGCCCTTGTTCTTGCTATTTTGCTCACGCTAGGCCCTTGTTCTTGCTATTTTGCACACGCTAGGCCCTTGTTCTTGCAATTTTGCACTCGCTAGGCCCTTGTTCATGAAAATTTGCACTTGCTAGGCTCTTGTTCTTGCAATTTTGCACTCGCTAGGCCCTTGTTCTTGCAATTTTGCACTCGATAGGCCCTTGTTCTTGCAATTTTGCACACACTAGGCCCTTGTTCTTGCAATTTTGCACACGCTAGGCCCTTGTTCTTGCAATGTTCCACACGCTAGGCCCTTCTTCTTGCAATTTTGCACTCGCTAGGCCCTTGTTCTTGCTATTTTGCACACTCTAGGCCCTTGTTCTTGCAATTTTGCACACGTTAGGCCCTTATTCTTGAAATTTTGCACACGCTAGGCCCTTGATCTTTCTATTTTGCACTCGCTGGGCCCTTGTTCTGGCAATTTTGCACACGCTAGGCCCTTGTTCTTGAAAGTTTGCTCACGCTAGGCCCTTGTTCTTGCAATTTTGCACATACTAGGCCCTTGTTTTTGCAATTTTGCACACGCTAGGCCTTTGTTCTCGTAATTTTGCACACACTAGGCCCTTGTTCTTGCAATTTTGCACACGCTGGGCCCTTGTTCTTGCTATTTTGCACACGCTAGGCCCTTGTTCTTGCAATTTTGCACTCGCTAGGCCCTTGTTCTTGCTATTTTGCACACTCTAGGCCCTTGTTCTTGCAATTTTTCACACGCTAGGGCCTTGTTTTTTCTATTTTGCACAAGCTAGGCCCTTGTTCTTGAAATTTTGCACACGCTAGGCCCTTGTTCTTGCATTTTTGCACACGCTGGGCCCTTGTTCTTGCAATTTTGCACTCGCTAGGCCCTTGTTCTTGAAATTTTGCACTTGATAGTCCCTTGTTGTTGCAATTTTGCACTCGCTAGGCCCTTATTCTTGCAATTTTGCACTCGGTAGGCCCTTGTTATTCAATTTTGCACACGTTAGGCCCTTTTCCTTGAACTTTTGCACTCGCTAGGCCCTTGTTCTTGCAATTGTTCACACGTTAGGCCCTTATTCTTGAACTTTTGAACACGCTAGGCCCTTGCTCTTGCAATTTCGCACTTGCTAGGCCCTTGATCTTGCAATTTTGCACTCGCGAGGCCCTTATTCTTGCAATTCTACACACGCTAGGCCCTTGTTCTTGCAATTTTGCACACGCTAGGCTCTTGTTCTTGAATTTTTACACACGCTAGGCCCTTGTTCTTGCAATTTTGCACACGCTAGGCCCTCGTTCTTGCAATTTTGCACACGCTAGGCCCTTGTTCTTGCAATTTTGCACACGCTAGGCCCTTGTTCTTGCAATTTTGCACTCGCTAGGCCCTTGTTCTTGCAATTTTGCACACGCTAGGCCCTTGTTCTTGCAATTTTGCACTCGCTAGGCCCTTGTTCTTGCTATTTTGCACACGCTAGGCCCTTGTTCTTGCTATTTTGCACACACTACGCCCTTGTTCTTGCAATTTTGCCCTCGCTAGGCCCTTGTTCTTGCAATTTTGCACTCGCTAGGCCCTTGTTCTTGCATTTTTGCACTCGCTAGGCCCTTGTTCTTGCAATTTTGCACTCGCTAGGCCCTTGTTCTTGCAATTTTGCACTCGCTAGGCCCTTGTTCTTGCAATTTTGCACTCGCTAGGCCCTTTGTTCTTGCGATTTTGCATACGCTAGGCCCTTGTTCTTGCAATTTTGCACTCGCTAGGCCCTTGTTCTTTGAATTTTGCCCTCGCTAGGCCCTTGTTCTTGCTATTTTGCACACACTAGGACCTTGTTCTTGCAATTGTGCACACACTAGGCCCTTGTTCTTGCAATTTTGCACACGCTAGGCCCTTGTTCTTGTAATTTTGCACACGCTAGGCCCTTGTTCTTGCAATTTTGCACACGCTAGGCCCTTGCTCTTGCAATTTCGCACTTGCTAGGCCCTTGATCTTGCAATTTTGCACTCGCGAGGCCCTTATTCTTGCAATTCTACACACGCTAGGCCCTTGTTCTTGCAATTTTGCACACGCTAGGCTCTTGTTCTTGAATTTTTACACACGCTAGGCCCTTGTTCTTGCAATTTTGCACACGCTAGGCCCTCGTTCTTGCAATTTTGCACACGCTAGGCCCTTGTTCTTGCAATTTTGCATACGCTAGGCCCTTGTTCTTGCAAGTTTGCACTCGCTAGGCCCTTGTTCTTGCAATTTTGCACACGCTAGGCCCTTGTTCTTGCAATTTTG